GGTAGTTTTGAGATAATGTCGAACATGCCCTGCAAATAGCATATAATTGTCAGTTTCCAAGAAGTATTTTACCAAGACTACGAACGAATTTAGATATCAAACATAATCTAAAGTTATTACTACACTAATAAATCACTCGATAGTAGTACCTGATTGCGTGACTGTTAGACTCAGTAAGGAAGCCAACGCTAAGTCGACGCAACCACTCCAGCCAATCATCTTTGGATATCAGATTATTTGTCGACCAACATTTGCGTAAATTCTTTACGTTCAGTGTCAGCTTTTGAACTTGAGTTTCACTTGTATTTCTCATTACCTAAAAATATTTAATTTACACATATTTATCAACATTAAGTTGAGATAAACTTAATATGTGATCACTGGTTATAAGAACTTACATCACTTTTCTGATTTCGTAACCTCGATCTAGTTTCATCCAAATAATCGTCATCCGAGGCGAGAGTAGAGTTAACTTGTAAACGTGTTACCAGAACTATATAATTTGGATAATGTATTTTATGTTTTTGCAATATTCTATCGATGGATGGAATATAATCTATATATTCACGACCCATTTGAACTATTAAAGCGCACAACGTGTTCATCGCAGTTTGTCTCAATGCTGGATTGTTATCTAATACTTTTGCAGTTGCTTGTATTATTATAGCAGAATAAGGTTTTAAATATAAATACACGGATAAATGTTCGATCGTCTCTAAAGCCAGTTTTGATATAGATGTTGGAATATTACGACCATCAAAAAGAGCTGTAACAGCTGGTACAACGGACAGTAAAACATCGTCTAGATTATTCTCAAACTTTTGTATGGCCAACAATAGTTTCTCTGTTAAAAATTTATCCTTTGTCCTATCGTATTTTAATACTCGTAATATATTTGGTAGTATTTTTCTCAGATAGATTTTGAATTCAGTTCCGATCGCTACTGTTATGTGTTCGACCAATAAAATCAGAGTAGGTTGCAGAGGGCTATCCGGTGTCCAATATTCTCTAATTATATCGAATATTTCTTCTAAATATGCTCGTATATGAATTTTCACAACAGAAATTAATTGTGCCAATTGAGTGAATAAAAATTCACGGAAGTTACTATTGTCAGTTGTACGAATTACATACAAAAGTCCAGGGGTTACTCTAGAAATATATGGGACGCATTTAATACCTAATGTTTGAAATATGAAAGTCACTGAGTGCACCACACTGGTGTGATGTCTGGCTAACATAGGATCGCGTAGCATCCTCATTAAAGATGTGACGGCAATCGCCGGATAAAATTCATCAAGGACTAATGGAGACATGTTAACTAACATATCACTTACGTTCATTTCGAAATTATCGTAATTCGCAGTCGTATTTGGTATCGGAATTAGAGTGGACATTGTTTGAAAATCTATCAAACCTTGATTTACTCTATGCTTGTAAGGATCTAGTGCGCCCAATAAACCTAAGACTCGTATAGTTTCTGTCCTATCACTAGTTTGTTGTTCAGTCTTTAAGAAATTTAAAAGCATATCCATTAAATGTGGATATTCCATGTAAGGTGTAACCACATAGCCTATAGCACTAATCACTTGTCCAAATGACCATAGTGCTACACTTCTTTTTTCAATTTGATTAGGATCCGCCAGAATTTCTAATTGTATCGATATCAGTTCTGGTAACCATTGAGTCAAAGAATTTCCCCCACCATTAATTTCAGCAAGATCTCCTATTGCTTTCAATATTGTTAATATCATAGTTGAATTTCCAGTTTCTTCTCGAAGTTTCGGTACGAGAACTTTCAGAATAGTATCGACGAATTGTCGAGTTATCCTCGGTGCATGTGATATAATATTGTTAACCATTCTTAGAGATTGTTCTTTGTTGCGAGTAGATTCTGAATGCTGCAACTCTATAAGAACTTGCACAAAATATTCTCTTAATGTTGGTGTAGTGTAACTTGGGTTAATATTACTTAATCTACTAACTATGCATAATGCTAACTCACTCACTTCACTGTTGGAATCATTTATGGCAACAAAGAGACTATTAAGGTGTTCTTCGTTTGCTAAATATTTATCAAAGATTGGATTGGTAAAAACTTCCAGAACTTTGAAACGTACTTCTTGATCAAAATCTGATCTACCGACAGCCAAAAGCTTTCCCAATGATTCATCAACAATCAGACTTAAAGTGCGTGAATTTGTTTGAGAACATCTTTCAATGGCTTTAATTAATAATTTTGCAGCCGTTTTGACAGCTTCTAGTCGAATATCGTGCTGTTCACTTTGTAAATAGTAGTCTGTGCATCTTCTGATGAAAGACATTAATGTATTATTCCATTCAAAATCAAAAGCACCAAGAGTACGAAGTGCTAGAACCAATTTATTAGCATCTTGTGGTTCACCCAACAGAGCAGTGGATAACATATGCGTAAAGTGCTGCTCCGAATTATTACTGATATAAGGTTTCTTCCTAAGAATCAGTGAAAGAATATTAAGCAGCCGATCTGTTATTTCTAGTTTCAGTGATGGTAAATTTTGGCTAAGTTCCTTAAAACATGTGGTTAGCTGTGGACTTAAACCTGTAGCACACATTGGATCAAGGAGTTCTTTCACTTCATTAGCCACATCTTCTTTCATTGCGAATCCTAGCAAAGTCACGCAATTAAATAATGGAGTATCGGTACCATTACGTTTCTTTGGCACATCTTTGACAGGTAAAGTTAGTCTTATGATTTCTATAATTCTACCCAAATATATTTGAATATCACACTCAACAGCAACACAGACTAGGCCAAGTGTAGTAAAAGCCATAGCTTTTTCCTTTTCTCTTCCTCTTAAGAAAGTAATGAGGTGATTTATTGTAGACTTCAGATGTTTCTTTGAAAAAGCCTCTCTATTTAAAGCAGCCAGTCTTGGTATAATAAGCAATAACATTTGATGAACACTATGAGACCTTGATATTTGTTGAGCCATTACCTCTGAAAACATAATCATTATGAAAGAAATAAAATCATGAAACCTATCCAAGTGCTATCAAATATTACATTTCAGGATTGATTGAGCATTTTCAATAAAGAATATTGACAAGTTAACTTACCAGAAGCAATCTTTTCATATTTTTCAACAATTAATTTTCTACAAACACTTGACTCATAAATACCAACAGCCGTGTGCTTCTCCTCCAAACTTTGTGGTGTCCATGAGTTGTGCATCTTTGAACTCAGAGAGAGCATTTCATCTGATACATCTTGTTCTGTATCTAATTTTTGCATAAGCATTGTGTATTTCTTCTCCCAAGCAGCATTAGAACATCTCAATAGTTCATTCAAAATTAACAAAGCACCATGAACATGTTCATCTCTACTTAAACCTCTTTCTCTAATAGTGTTATCGGAAAATGATGTCATAGCTTCTTCATAACATTCAGAATACCAGTGCACTTTATTACTTTGATCTGGTTGCTCTCTTTGAGACATCACAACAAATGCAGCTCTTAAAGTTTTCGCAGCCAATTCACGTATCTGTTCCTTAGGATCTCGGAGAGCACTGTGAATGTTATTGAAAAACCCACCAATATGTTGGTAAAAGTATGAAGGCATAGCAATTGCCAGTTCTCGTAGTATTAAGACAGCTGATAGACGTTTACTCTCACTACGCTCTTCAGACAACCATTCATATGCTCTTTTAATTTCCAATTCAACATACTCTCCCCTCTTGACTCCAAGGGACACAGCCAAGCGACCCATTGTCTTAGCTGCCAGTTCTAATATACTGACATCATTAGAAGGAAATATATTTCTTAAATATTGAGCATAACGATTTAGCCTCGTCTTTGTTGTTTCAGTATCCCCTCCAATAAGACAGACTAAAACAAGAGAAACATATTTTGAATCACAATGAAAAACTTGTTGAAATATACTATCATTATGTTATACTTAAATATAACAAATAGTTAATAGCTCAGCAAAGTATATTGTAGTAGTCATTTATCATCACATGAACACAATAAGAAAAAATACTTCAAGTATATACCATCCAAAGTACACGATCAGGTTTATGCTTCAGTAAATTTAAAAGAATATTTCTTTAAAATGTAACATATATTTAACTTAATAATAACCTCAAAATTACCTATTGTGAGTATCCCAGCTTTCTTTTCATTATTATCGTAGCTGGATGTCAGCGCGTGTATATGTTGGTTAAAATCATCTAAAACTTGAGTTAAAGCATCTTGGGACATTTCTCGTAAATCAGTCCTAGCAAAATGCAATAATTCCCGAATTGCCTTATGCCGAGTCTCTGCATGGCGAGATTTTAATCCAGACACCAAGTCCGATATTTGATAAGCAGTCATTTTGGATAATATTAAAAAACTATTTCTCGAAGAAAGAAATAACGCCAAGATAAATACACAAAAACATTATAATGGAAATTGTCGATTCTTAATAAAATAACACTTTTACATATTGCGATTATATTACTTAGCTAACCACTTAACAACCATTATACATTAATATTAATTTTTGTGAATCAAAATATAAACAAATTAAATTAATAGATTTTTGCTTGCTGTTCCGGATTTGTTTTTGTTGGAAATTGGCAAATTGGAATTATTCGTTCTGAAATTGGACAATTTGACAAATGACAGTTTGCAATTGTTGCCATACTACCAGTCAAATTGGACTTCTAATAACTTTTGTAAAACAATATAGAGAAAGAGAAAAGAACAATCCCTTGGCAGCCATTATTCTTTCACAAAAAGCCATCCTATGTCTAATACCACAGAGCACAATTAAATTTTATTCTTTAAATGTCCTTTCATTTTTTGAATTTAGCTGAGCAATGAGTGGAAAACACCAGAAAACAAAACACAGTTGTCTGTGTTGCCAGCTGTAAGCTGTTTTCAACGACATACAGATAATTAATTTCAAAACGTTTGAAAATAACAGCATTGTTGTGAGGATGACGCGTGTATTTTCAATACTTTCTCGTCATCTAGACTCCAGACCACAAATGTCAAATAGGTAACCATTCAACTCAGCTGTGCTTGTGCTGTGCTCGCTGTGCCTTGCACAGAAAGGTGACTGACTGCTTGACGTTAAGTGGCTTGCTCCGTTGTTCTCTTTGATTGAATATTTTCAACACAGTGAAGAAATTCTAATAATTATCGATTAAACTCGAAGAACTAACGTACGTCATGAGTGAATTGAGTCAAGAAGAGGTAAACGAAATATTTATTTTGTAAACGGGCCTTGGCGTAGTGCGTATGGCCAATCTAATTTCGTAACAAAACAAAGCGTTTGTGTGGTGATGTTTAGTATTGATGTGCGTCAAAAATGTACACGTGCTGTGAGTGATTTCAATATTTGTTACAGATACGACGACGTCGTTTAGCGAGGCTAGGAGCGCTGGGAGCTACAGCTTCATCCCCTGCCCCTGGCAGTCCTCCAGCCACTCCGGGTGCTTCTTTGACTAACACTGACACAGTGAATGTGCAGCAACCTTCGTCTCGCTTATCACCGTCACCTCGGGGTTCCACAGAATCAAACACATCGTCGGAAAGTGCTACCATAAATAGAGAGAATACTTTTGCAGATGGAGTTAGTAACAGTGAAGTGCCAGATCAAAATAAAATACCATCAGATAGTTTGATTGTGACAGAAAAAACTGAAAATAATTTGTTGGATGAGATGCCAGACACAAAGATGACTGATCTCTCACAAACTAGACAGTACAACAGTTTTGACTCCATGGGTGATGACACATTGTTAAGTTGTGGGTCAGTGCGTGTTGGTAGTTTGCCTCAGTCAGCTGTGAGTGGTTCTGAAGGTGCATCAACAAGAGAGGACAGTACCTCCAGATCTATATCTCCACCTCAATTTGTGGAACCCCCACCAGTGAGACCACGGACTTGTGGTGCATCCCCAAGCTGCTCCCGTCGCTCCCTCTCAATGGAAGTAGATGATGTATCAGAGAGAAATTCACAATCAGAACAGTCACAACAAGAACCTATGGATGTAAGTATTTACAAAAATGTTTTTGTTTATTTTGATTTGACTATAATTCTGATTTGACAAGATCCTATAGGACTTCTTTATATATCTTCTTTACTTTGGCAATGATGTTCTTTGTTTTTGTATTTAAACTTACATAATCACTTTAGTTCCCACCAACATTTATTGATATCGATGATTAGTTACATAACTAAGAAGTACTTGTGCTACATCTATATCACCTAGAAATAGGGCCAATTGTATACTTAACTCATTGCTATCATGTAATTTAACTTTATTAATTCCAATCAACAAAATAGGACATAACCAAAAATGTTGTTAGGCAAGACAAAAAAGTATTCACTCATGTCTTTATTGTACAGTTTAAAATTAATTAGTTATGACTAGATGTGAGTTAAATAAGATTGAATATACACACATGATTTATTCAGTTATATTCAGTCAGTTATTTATTTATTTTCTTGACATTAGATTGAAGAAGATCCGTCTCAGTCACCGGCAAGAAAGATCCACAGAACAAGGACAGTGAGTTGCACGGAACTATCTGAAGAGCAACTTAGAGTTATTGTTTCCAAAATACTGCAAATATCATGGTCTGAAGAGATTGTGGGTGAGTAAATATAGATTTAAGGAATATAAAATTAACATGTTAGATATGAATTTCATATATTTGAACATTATGACTGTCTTCATTTGTTTTGAAGAGAAAGAGAGGGATGGTAATATTATTGTAACACAGATGGAACAATAGTTGAAATTCAATCTAATAGTGTAATATTATATGTTTAAAAGTCTACTTCAGGGATGGCAAACCTTTACATATCAATGTGACCAGTTTTACGTGGCAAACCTTTACATATCAATGTGACCAGTTTTCCAAAGATATGTTTGATGTGGTCTAAGAGAGAATTTTGGGATAACTGACATGCCCATAATATTGTGCCAATGGTTCACCGCTTGGTAAAGGGGTTTGTCGAGAATAGGCAAATATAATAGTAATATTTATTTAATAGTAATATAGTATTGTGTACTGTCAACTGTCTCCATTGAAACATTCAGAGTTTGAACTATTGTAAATGACTTTATTCATTTTACTATAATTCTTTATTCTATATTCCTGATATGTGATTCTTAAACGATACAATTAGTAATTGTCTTGAAGAATAAAAGTAGCTCTAATGTTTGTTGTGTCTAGATCTGAGAAAAGTGACAAACTATGCCTAAAAATAGAGGGTCAGTGACTGTAAAATTATGTTTATGTATTGTTGGTGTTTTGTGGATTGTAAACAATTTCAAAACACAAGTAAAAATTTTTATGATATTTTTATTGCAGGAGGAATTTTTGTACCTAATGTAGCTGCTATGTTACTTGACAATCCTAAACTTAGTTTAGAGGAATTAGCATCTGAGGCTCTCATTGATATCATCACTCAGCTTGAGGATGGAGCTGATCCATTAAATCAGAAATTAATTGCAATTGCTGAAACAACTAAAAGACTGATGGAAGACTGTGGGGATGATACCTTAACGAGTGGACCATTAGGTTCCGAGACAGACAATCAAAAATCTGGTAATACCGTAAACCTGGTTCTTCCCAAGACTATCCCGACACAAGGTTTAGCCGTTAGCTATCTTTTACGATTCTACAATAATATTAATCTTTACGAGAGAGAACATCCAAAGAAAAGTTCAGAACCACCTTTAAGTGATTTATTACAAACATTAAGAACCTTAATAGTTAACCATTTGGTTTTGGTGCTTAGAGGGAAATTTAATTTGGAAAAATGCAGAAAATCCCCCTTGTTGCCTTACATCTTAATTGGTAGCACACCAATTGGCCTAATTCCTGAAATACTTTTGGCTACTTATTTAGAAGAATCTTTTGATGAGGTAAATATTTCTTATAGAAATTGTATTGTGCTTTATGAATATAACTAGTTTGCAAATGTGTCTACTGTTAAGGATTTACATAATAAACTGCTTGAACAGGTTTTTGTTCCACTCCTGTTGGGTATAAGAGAGGAGATGCGTCGGAGCGTGTCTCCACTGAACGGGCGGGGTCACGGGCAGGCGCTACGTGCACTTCGCTCACTATGCGAGTTGCGCGCGGGGCCGCGTCACGCACTTCGCCCCGTCTGCGCCCTCATCGTCCGCTTGCCCAGCCTCTGCCCTCCCTCCGTTACTACTGCTCCGGGGAGGGAAATTGCAAGAGCCAGCTTCTTAGGACCATTCTTTGCTGTATGTATTATTTGAAACTGACTACTTAACTGAAGAATTAATCCAGAAATAAACTTGTTTATCAATTGATTTGTTTGTTTTTGTGTTGATTTAAATAAACAATGTTTTGTTCACAGGTGTCGCTTTTCGCGGAAGAGAATCCTCGTCTAGCTGAACGTTTATTTGCGTCTGGATCCACCGATCGTAGTCTCGCTTTCGCATTGCAACGCGAATTAGAAGCGAGCAGGAACACTCTGCATACAATCTGCCATAATATATTACTTTGTCCTGAAGCGAGAGAACCCTTCCTCAATTATTTTGCGGAACTACTCCAGAGAAATGAACACAGAATCCGCTACAGAAACGATGACAGATCATTAGCTGGTAAGTCTTGATCATCTTTATTTTGTTGATTGTGAGACAGATAAAATAAACAAATATGCTTTGCCGCTAATGCGAGTGCAAAAAATCTTTATTAGCTTATAATACGCATATAAACTAACTTAGTAGAATTTCAAAACGTTTAAATGTTAAAAAAATTGTCGAAAATTCATAAATTTAATAGCATGCAAGCTTCATATGTAATGTACTGGTTCGCCATTCCCAAAAATAACTTACGAGGAATTGTCATTAACCTTCCCTGTACTAAAATAAGGTTTATTTGAGCATTCAACCCGATCTTGCAACTTTGTTTATATGCTCCAGTTTTGCTCCATTGTTTGCCATATAGACAATGTAGAAAAATCATTCGTATATCGTAAATATTAATTTTGTGCTGATTGATAAATCGTTACGGTCATTTTTTTGACATCTTAAACATATAACTCTAGAAGTCAATTATTAACATAAAAGTTATGTAAGACATAAATAGTTACATTTACTTATATATTATTTTGTCGCGATAAGACTTATTGTGGTCGTATTGCAATACGTTGCCCTGCGATATATCACTCATCTATTAACTACATTATGTATGTACACGACAAAACTTGTTGCAACACGAATCTCGAAAATAGGAATCAAACCCCCAATCTTCGGGTCATCAATAACTGGAATGCGATCAGTTATTAGCAATCCTAATTTACAAACATTAATAAACCGAATTATTTTTCGCGACGTGATAATGAATGAATTTGTGTTCGATAAGAGGTAAATAGAAGTTCTTGCATAGGTGGGAATAGTTGCAAGTGTAATTTGGCGACAGATTCTAATTTTATAGTCCCGGTGTTATCTACAACGAATGAACGTTTAGTGACGTCCGTTTCTATAAGTAATACGTAACAGTTCTCGTTGCGTAAAGGAAACTACGCAGGATAGAGAACACAAAGTATGGAGACGGCGTTTATTTATTTGCTCATGTTTATAAACAAATTGGCACTGTAGCTGTAATAAGATAATTAGGGGATTTTCTAATTTGTCTAGTAAACAAGAGTCGGTAGTAATAAGCATAGCGTAAGTAATAATAAAATCTCAATTTTGAAGTGTTTTTTTTTATAAAAAATGTGATTATGTTTGACATTAGTGCACTTACGTCAAGGAAAGATTTTTTTCCAATTTACATTAAAAAAATGCTATCTCTTTTTCGCTTTATTAATGTCAACCTGAATTATTTTAAATTGTTTATTAAGGTAATTCAGCCAGCGAATCGAGGGTCGCCCTTCGCTGCACCTTTATCTTTGCTCTTATGAATTAAACTCACTGAATTGTTATTTAGCGCATAAAGTTTACCTTATTTACGCAGCGATTTCGAAACAAAGGATCGGATGATTTGATTTTTTTACTTTGTTTACTTTTTTATTTAAATAAATCTTGCGAACATAAATGTATTAGTACGTTAATGTTCTGATATAGAGGAAAACATGTTATATAACGAAACTTATTCGACTTTACTATGTAACATAAATGTGTTTCACCTGACTTATATAACACAAACATTATTTGTGTGGCTTATTTGAATATATAACACACACATTTATAAAAACATTCACTTAAATGTAGATAAAACATTAAAAGTATGCAAAAATCCATAATATGCATAACGCAACTGTTTACCGAATCCTTTGTGAAGAATCAAAGATATCTATCGTTTATAACACAATGTGGTAATTTCCTATTAGTTATTAGTAGTAATTAGTAATATACATTTTGTAACTTAAAGACAGGGATGGTGAACCAATGGCACGCTTGCAATCGAGACAATAATTTCAGCACGTCACTGATTACATATTATATAGTAAGATTATTTATATGATAGGCGAATGCGAATAATCTCTAAGCTACGAAATAGTTAACAATAATCACAAGGTTAAAATTATTTTAAAGCGAATCTATAACCTTATTAAACAATTCTTTAAAAAATGGCTGGTTGCTACGTAAAGGTTCGACATCCCTGCTTTAAAAACAAAAATTGACGAGATGTAAAACTATACTCTAAAATGTCGATGTATATTATATTACGTTTAAACTTTTAATCAAATAGCAAACGATTGTTTTTTTTTCGGAGTACGTTTTTTTAATGACTGGCCAAAATAAACGTATACTTATTATCGCGTGTCGCTGACTTCGTAGTAACGTTACTGTCTATTGGCTTTACTCCAATATATTTATTTCCGAGATGCTATGTCGTGCGCCTGTTTAGTAAGAAACGTTTGTTTATTGTTTATTATTTCTTTACTAAACTAAAAAGTAGTTCGTATTCGGTGTTATGATTCGCATTGTTATTACCACTGCCGAGTACAATGATTTTTCAAGAAATCAATTTTGTCAACATAAATGTATAGTAAATATATTATTCTTAAACGTATATATTTTTTATACCTAGTTATGGAATTAGCATTTCCGCGTCAACAAAACCTGCAAATTTAAAAAAAATATAACAAATAATATTGTTCTCAGGCGATGGATTCATGCTGAACGTGTGTTCAGTACTACAGCTGCTTTCGATCCGCATCAAATTGGAGCGCGTCAATCCGTTCTATACCTTCCAGCCCAACAACTGGATAGACATCCACGACGACACCCGCCTCTACTACACCTCGCAAGAGGCGCAAGACTGGCTGGACGCATTGAGTAAGTAATGTTTATAAATCTGTCTTTGTAATTAGCATGTGCAAAGTCCCGCCATATTGTGACGTCATAGTTGTCAAATTAAAAATATGATAACTTTTCTAAACCTCCGAATTTAAAGAATAATCTTGTTTTCTTGTAATCTACTTATTTACGATTTTTGATATATTGATGTAATTCTCTCGTACATCCTTATTTGAAAAACGTAATACTTTGGGTCGTAGTGTTTGTGAAGTGAGGCAAGCGAACATTAAGTCTACCATAAAATCAAAATTATATGATTAATAATTCCAATTTAAACCAGTTATTCCAACGTATCAAGATTGTATTCTTCACTTGTAATATACAATGTGATATGTGGAAATGATTGCTACGTTACTCGGCAATTTCTTCAATTATCTCCGTAAAGTCGTTACGATAATAGCCGATAATAAACAGCCATGTAATTTCGTTACGCTTAAAAATAAAAAATATATATATAACAAAATTAAATTTTGAATAACTATAATATATTATAAAGATATTCCAATTAACTTTAGTATCAAAAATCAGTCATGTTTTTATTAAGATTTAGATTTTTTTACACATATAAAGAAGAATTTATGACTCCTTGTGGCATCTATTACATAAAATAATTTCATAGACCCAAGAAAATATCAATTGGGTTACCAGGCAAAAAAGATAGAAAAGTAGACAATTAAAAAAGCACACCATGTAATTTATTGATAGACTGGGAATTTCTATGTCCTAAAGTTGTATACTTTAGCTACGATGTTTTCTTATTCAAAGAGTATATTATGATTTCAACAAGTTTCTCAAACAAATGAAACAATAGACACAACTGGCAATTAATTTAAGAAAACAACCGACGCGGCAACGACTTAAATCGGTAATTGAGACTGGCTTGTTAATTGTTTCATTAGTGTAATTTGAAAATGCCTCCAGCGTTTTGTATTTACAGAAAATAAATTTTAGCAACTACTACTAAATTTGTCTATGCATTTGCTTATTTTTTACCGTAAGAGTAAAACACATACTCCTTCAATAATTAAAGTCCACGCACATTTTTATACGCGACGTCCAAACCCTTATTTAAAAAAAAAATTGTTTCAGTACAACGCAAGTATCTTCTAATTTTGAAAATATGACATACAATATTTAAATATAAAAACACATCGTATGATACTTCAATATTCAAACAATAATATATAAAACTGATTTTGATTTAATTCCAGACAAAGACCCCAATCACAAATGGCCCGAGGCGAAGTTCCAGACTGTCTGCTGGTTCCTGACTCTGCATATGCACCATGTAGCTTTGATACCAGCTCTGCACACTCACCAGCGACGCATAAGGTACTGTTCACACTATGTATTATTTTATACTGTTGATTAGGATGCTTAATTTTTTAAAGAAAAAGTTAAAAACATTCAGTTAAAAATAGAGCTGTAAACAAAAAATTATTTGAATCAAAAAAAATATCGCAAATTCTAGTCCACGACTGGTGGGTCATGAAAGTGGCTGTGCTTTTTGTTATCAGTTATTAAGATTCAAGATTATATCAAAATATTAATACGAATATAAAAAAAATAGTTGTTTACAGTTAATATTTTATACGTAGATTATACTCTAGCCAGAAATTGTTACGTCACATTTATTTATTGCGAGCCATTTAATATTACGCGCACATGTGTTCACAGTATGTATGTATAGGTATATTTCTCTAATTGATTGTTATGCACAAGACGATCTTTGACTTGTTTATCAAGGAACTGCATACATTCTAACTGAATTAGAATTAATATATTATCATAGTTTGATTTACTTGTATCTTGTTTATTGATATTGCTTATGTTGTATCTAATTTTCATAAGCAATATCAATAAACAAAATACAAGACATAAGAACGTAATGTTGTCTTTGCATTTTCAAAGAGAACATAGAGCTGTCAAACCAGCATTAACAACCCTTTCTATATGACAATGTTTTTATATAAATATTTCGGTAATTCATACCAGAAAAATAACTATGATTGCATGTTTAAGTGCATTCAAATAAATATATATACGTATATATGTATAAGGAGATACTCATTATTTTTATGTTACGGCAGAGCATTCCGCGACCTGCAGAAGGTGATAGAGGAGTTAATGGGCGCGGAGCCTCAGTGGCGGAACACGTACGCCGCGCTACGCAACCGCGAGCTGTTGCGGCGATGGCGAAGACAGATCAAACGATTGCAGAGGTAAATACTATTTTAGTAAATACTACTAGTCGTAGTGAAGTCAACTTTAAATGAACATTGTTATTAGCTACACTCATATTTTGGTATAATTTAAGAGTTAATATAATTCATAAGTTAAATTCGCTGAAAGCAGTGCTAAAAGTAGATCTAAACTTTATCAAGGTGTTCAATGTCTGCGAACTATTTTATTTTAATAACATAGTCTTGGGTTTTGTTTTAGTACTAATGTGCATGTAACTTGTCCGAATATATATATATAAATATCGATATATCATAAATCATCATAACACCAAACAGGTCAAAACAATGTGCGGAGACGGCGCTACTGGACTGTGAACTGATGCGTCGCAGCTTGCAATTCTACTCGTCAGTATGCGTGCTGCTGACTCAGCAGTTAGAGGCTGCAAGGACCGCGGACCGGGCGCCCGCTAACCTGGAGAGCCCCGACGCGGGCAGTGGCAGCGAGAGCGCAGCCCCCAGTGCGGCGGAGGGCGGAGCACCCCGCGCACCGCACGGGCCCAGCGCGGGCTCGCTGGCTGATGCCTTCCGCGCCACTCCAGAGTGGTACGTCGAGGATATTGCTGACTTCATGCTCTTTGCTGTGCAGTAAGTTCATTGTTTATTATTTCATTTCGATTTATCTTAAGATATCTTTTTACTATAAACTAGCTGTCGCCCGCGGAATTTAAAAAAAAACTTAATTAGTAGCCTATGTGTTTTTCTAGGCTATGTTCTATGTGTATACCAAATTTCAGGGAAATCCATGCAGCCGTTCAAGATTTACCTTCTAACAAACATCCATCCATGCAAACATTAACATTTATGATATTAATTTATGATATAAATGTAATAGCGCTTTGGTTGACAATTTTTTTTTTATTTTGTTTAAAAGTGCATTGACACTAATCGTGTTCATAATATTTACATCATTATCTTATTTGAAATTGATTAAAAGATACGTATGTACTAATTTGGTGCTATTCAAGCTTTATCTTTTATCATATAAAGGTCTTCAATCGAACAAAACCGATAACGCTTCTATTAAAGTAAATAAGAAAATACTTACTTAAATTTACTTAGTTACATAATATTTAAAATATATATGAATGTAATTTTCAGATACGTGCCACAGATAGTGGCGGACTATATAGAGGAGCCGGTGGTGACGTGGCTGCTGACTGCGGTCTGCAACTCCCGCCTCCTCAAGAACCCCTATCTTGTCGCCAAGATCGTCGAGGTGCTGTTCGTTATCAACCTATCTATACCGCTCAAGCTCAAAAATGTATATGAAAGGTAATTATTTCCTGCATTTTGTAGTATTGAATGTTTTTATGGAATAAAGCTAATAACTATAATTACTTAGTGACTTACTTAATGCTAGCTCAATAGGCTGGTTAAGGATTTTAATTTTTTAAAATTAATATTTTCTAAAACTTTTGCATCTAAAGAGTCTTAGATATTCTATTTATACAGCTTTATAAAAATCTTTATTAAAACCAAAATAATTATTTAAAAAAAATGAAATTGTTAAAAACAGTATTTCTTTCATAAAAAAAAAACTTTTTGGCCAAAAAAAATAATAATTGTGCATATATATTTTCAGATTCATGGACCACCCAATGTCACAGACGTCGTTGCCGAGCGCACTGATGCGTTTCTACACGGACATAGAGACGACCGGACAGAGCACTGAGTTCTACGACAAGTTCACGATTCGCTTCCACATCAGTATCATACTCAAGGGCATGTGGGACCGTCCTATACATAAACAAGTGAGCACATCGCACATTGTATACTCTGTCTGTCTGTCTGTATATAAACTGTACCAACTCAACAGTGGTAGATTCTCAACAATATTTGTTGATACCACGACCATATGGAAGCACAGATCTTATGTATGCTTATGTATAAATATTATGGTATTTATTTTCAGGCTATAGTAAAGGAGTCTCGCTCTGGCCGGCAGTTCGTTAAGTTCATCAATATGCTGATGAACGACACCACATTCCTACTCGACGAGTGTCTTACGGTTATTATTTTTAATCAATTTAATAAATCCTAATTATTCAATACAACCTGTATAATTCTGTATTGATCGAAAAATTTGGTTGGTATAACTCTTTTCAAATATCTTGTCCGCCTTAAGTAATTGGACACCTAACATGCACGTCCCTATAAGACGTTAAGAGCTGCCAATGTATCTAAAAACGTTTATAATCTGATTGATTGATTAATAATTGGATAAAAATAATTCAACCTTCTACCTTGTAGTGGAAACCAGTATTACTAGATGTGCATTCCGGTCGCTCCTAAAGTATTGAATTATTTTATTCATTTTTACAGTATTTAAAACGTATCCACGAGGCACAAGAAGGTGGGCCTTCAACTGAGGTGCGAGCCAGAGCCTTGGCCCAGGACGAGAGGCAGTGTCGCTCATATCTCACACTTGCCAGGTATTTTTGACTGCTTCATAACACGTAATATGAACAGAATTGTATTGTAAATTGCCGTTTAACCGCATATCACTTAGCTCTTCGGCAAGGGGTGGACGAATGTCACTTTTGGATGTAATTTTTGCGACTAGTTTGAGTTATTATTCGTTGTAACGTTAAAATTGTGTGGTCTGTGTGCAGGGAGACGGTGGACATGTTGGAGTACCTGACGGTGGATATCAAGGAGCCGTTCCTTCGCGCAGAGCTCGTAGACCGGCTTGCCTCCATGCTCAATTTCAATCTGCAGCAGCTCTGCGGACCTAAGTGCAAAAACCTCAAGGTAACTCTTTCTTATCCGAGTTTCTCGCTTATATAGATGTCGCTTTCGATTCGGTCTGCGCTATTAAAAAAATGTAATTAGAAGCCTATGTATTCTTCCAGACTATGTTCTACATCTATGCCAAATTTCAGCGATATTTTGGAACTACCTTGTAACAAACAACCATCAATCCATACACCCATACATTCGCATTTATAATATCAGTAAGATATAATGTATTGTAGGTGCGTCGTCCGGAGAAGTACGGATGGGAGCCGCGGCGACTGCTCAGTCAGCTGGTCGACATCTACTTGCATCTCGACTCGCCTCACTTCCACGCTGCACTCGCCGCTGACGAGGTCAGTATTGTTATTGTATCATTATAAATAAAATTGTTCACGTTAAAATAATAAGTATTTTAGCGTTATGTTACACGTCCTCGATGAATAAATTAAAAACAATTTTTACTTGAGAGAAATGAAATATTAATACACACTGACCTCTATTGAATGGACAGACTATAAGGCGGGGTAAGTGCCTATATGATTTTCACTTTTTTGGCGCTGATGGGTGCGCTTTATAGCGGTGGTGGATCATCAACAGACGTTTAGAGTTGGAGATCAGTGTTAGACAATGAATTGATTATAATATTATGTTACAGAGATCATTCCGTAAGGAGTTGTTCGAGGAGGCGGCGGTGCGGTTGGCCAAATCATGCATAAAGACCCCCAATGAAATAGAGCGCTTCAAGGCGCTCGCTGACAATGCATATCAAATTGCCGGTCAGTTTTCCATCTCTTACATTATTATTAATTCTAATTCTATTATTAATTCGAGATTGATAATTGAAAATCAGGTGGGGGTGTAAAAATTGGTAGTAATTTAAAACCGGGAAATGAGCATATGATACTTTTTATCTCGTTTCCGCGGGGATTGACATAAAAAGATATTTTTTTAATTCCGCGTGAAAGGAATCGCGGCAAAAGCCAGTTTATTCTTATCAATTATTTTAATTTCAGTATCAAATCAACAAAAGAGCGACGAGTACGCTGACGCACCGGAAGAGTACCGCGACCCACTAATGGACACCTTGATGACTGACCCCGTCGTCTTACCATCGGGGAAGGTAACTAACTATACCACAAGCTGTTTTATTTTATCTAGTAGCTAATGCCCGCGATTTCTTTACAGCCGTTCTGGAGATACCTACAAACACACATCTACCCCTCTAAACATTCGCATTTATAAAATAAGTAAGATTAAGGACAACTAAGAATTCATTTAGTGTTCAATATAATTCTTTTTATTAAAAAAAAACATTAGCAGATTTTTTTAATTTACTAATATTTCTTGTACCATTCCAACTAAGCTCTATGCTTGTGCTAGGACATGGTAGTCGAATGGCGGGTTATGAACCCCGACTTCTTGATCGAAAATCCGTGCCATTAGGCTATTGGTGCTTCAAAATCATTTTTGTGTTCAGGTGATGGACAGGTCGGTGATCTTGCGGCATCTTCTCAACAGCGCCACAGACCCCTTCAACAGACAACCGCTCACTGAAGACCAGTTGCGTCCAGGTAACTAAAACATATTTTTTTACACTGCGGCTCTCTCTGTCTGTGCCTGTTCACTATTTCTCAGTAATTATAGTGGAATTCAATAGAAATTAAAAATTATATTTTTTCATTTCTCTGGCTTAAAATGTCGTTTATTGTCTATGGATTTATTTTAGAACGAATTAATATATCTGTGAGGACAGTCTTATAAAGAAAAAAAAATTATGTAGGTCTGTTATGATTTCTATTGAATTTGACGATACCATTATCGCATTTAATAGATAAAAAATAATACCTACTAGAAGTTTTACTCACATTGACCTAAAATTCTTTAGGTAAAAGGTTATAAGTTATCTTGTTACAATTACACCTAATTATGTTTATTTTCATATTAACAATTTGATTTTATTTACTATATTTTAGTGACCTTTATTATTGGAATATGCATGTTTTATGGTCATGTATGTAATTTTATGTCTATGCCATCTTGAACAAACAAATAATATTTTCTATTAAGTGTGAGGTCTCACCATATTTATATTTTGATTTGGAGTACCAAAGCAATCTACACTGATATTGTCGAATCACTTTTGTTATACTATTTGTCATGATAACAAACAATATTATATATAAAAACACTAGCTGTTGCCCGCAACTCTGTCCGCGCGTAATTAAAAAAATGTTCAGTTGCCTATCTGTCCTTTCAAACTATGTTCTACATCCATGCCAAATTTAATCGAGATCCGGTGTTCTGGTGATACCTTCAAACATCCATCTATTCAAAGATTCGCATTTATAAAATAGAAAATCTTTGTATATTCGTCTAAAATATATGATATTGTTACAGCTTCAGAGCTCAAAGAGAAGATAATTCAATGGCAGCGCGAGAAGAAATCGTCGTAAGTGTTCATAGTGTTCACTCGTAATGTATATAACTAAACAAATACATATATATAAAGACTAGACGTTGGAGACTCCAGCCGCTAACGGACTATTGTCCTAATATTATTGTGAGATTATTGTAAGCAAGTTATTCTAGTGGCAGTTAGACGAGGAAAGAACTGGTTACAGCACAAACCTTTATTGCTTCAGAAGAAAGGGGCAAAGTATTAAACGTGTCAAAATCAAGTAAGTATATAACGAGCATACATAATATACTTTAATTTATGTATGGGCCGTTTCAATATTTAAGGCGGATCAAGGTAATTTTGCCCAGTGCCCGCCACACCTAAAATTTGTTCTGCGCAGCGACTCGTACGATGTTCGGAGCCTCCGAGATATTTGAAAACCTCAAACATTTTATTTACCTAAATGTAATCAGTTTTATTCAATAACCTTTTACTGAAATAGCACATCTATTTTAATATCTGATATCATTTTTCATAGGGTATAATTCTATAATATTCAGTCCACATAGATATTAAATATATTTGTATGGATCTTTTTTCAACTGTAGTATTAACACATTTGAAAATATAATAATTGATACTATCCATATTGTCACAAAATTTCAAAGGACTACAATGTGGAGGCCCATTGTTTTCGTAATCTTTATTATCTCTTTTTGTCGACCAATATATACAGTTCTACGAAGAACATATACTGATAAAATTACAGACGACACGAAATATGCTTAATACTAAGCATTGCACGTTTTATTCTAAAGTTAAAGGATTTATTTTGCTTTGTATAAAAGTATAAATTGACAAACACCAAGGGCATTTTGTATAAGGCCTAACTGTGAACTAGTAGAAATTGGAGGCTGGTGATTCAACTTGTAAAAATTAACCTTAATATATTAGATATAAAATATTGTCATTATATGCATTTTTACATAGATATGTTATATCAAATATAATTAGATCAGTTAGTTTTCTAGTTTAAAAATTGGTTTACATTTAACTATATAAAAACCAACACATAATATGGAATGTTAGATTTTCTTTATTTAAAAATTAATATGAAATTGTAATAAGTTTATTTGATTAATATAAAAATGTTGATTGCAACAATTTCAATTTTTGTTCCTTTTAGTTAGTGTAGCGAAATGAATCTTTACATATTTTAGATAATTTTCTATATAAATAGATTTGTGTTGATCACTGCCAAGTCAATTTATAAGGGCATTCCTGCATCAAGCCAATTTATATCAAATTGTGGTCTCAGGTTTACCATAATATTATTTGTATTTATCTTTGTATCTACAATTATATGATAAAAGTATCTTATGTTAATTCAGTAAAATGTAATAAACGTGAAACAACTGTTTTATTTACAACCTCATTCACTCTTACCCATTTCAAACTTATACTCGACTGAAAGCTTCATAACTACAGAAACGAAAAATAAAAATCTTTAAAATATATCAAATCCAATATAATTTTCAAACTTATATAAACATTTTAGTAAATAACTTATTGTCAATTTTTTGATTTCATGACAGTAGCATCATTAATAAACTTTGTAATAATAAAAGCAAAAATAGTCAAAAAAAAGTCATGATTATTTCGAGAGATGTTACTAAAAAGAGGTAGATATGATGAGATTAAAATAAGAGATTTAGGTAGACATTTTCATGAAAAAGTGATATGAAAAACTAATAAATGCACTCATATTTTTTATATAAGAAATAATATTTAAAAATCAAATATAATGAAATGAAAGAACTTAGAATATAAAAGAATTAAAATGATAATTACATTCAAATAGATCTACAAACAAATTAAACTATACATAAAGACCTTTAAACTATATAATTCTGTACTTTTGTTACATTTATAAACTTTATAACTAAAGTGATAAAATTGTGATATCTTCTATTCAACTATATAATGTCACACAAACAACTTACATTCAGATAAAATATGGAAAAAAAAACTCAATAGAACATGATTACAATTCATTTGACTGTGAAACTGTTTATCATATGTAAAGGCTGGTTGGTTTTATCAATAACCATCTTAGTATTCACGGCAGCATCCTGTAAATGTTTTCTTACACTATTCTTATAAGATGTTAAAAATAGTTATGCAAAATTAGACTAAATGACTATTGTATACAATCTAAATAATGAATAAAAACCATGATACATTCATTGTGATCGACAGAGATGTAGGCAGATTTAATAAAATTATATTTGCATTATTAATTTATCAAAAAGATAAATATAACTTATTTAATATTGATAAACAAATTGCCTTTAGCTGCCATTAAGATATAGGAATTTATTGTTATACATTATCAACAAATAAAAATAGCATTAAAATATTTGTAAATAAACAAAATTATAATGAACAAATATTTACAGAAGAAATATATTTATTTGTAATGTAAATATTAAGTATTTACAATTTGCGACCATATTATAATATAGTTCTAAAGATTGAATTTAAATAGTAATTAACATTTTTGGTCCAAAATTTTTTTATGTTATTTTTGAAACAATCTACCTTAAAAGTCTTCAATGTAATTAAGAACATAGTAGCCACATCTTATAATAATTTACCATTAAATACTAAAATAAACTACATAATATTTCAAAGCATGTAAATTGCTATGAAATGATAACTTTGTAGACAGTCTATATGCATTGTTTATGTAATAAGCTCAATAAGTACACAAATAATAAAACAGTCATGTTACTGTCTCAATAAAAATGGTAGTCTATTAGCAAATAAACAAGAAATTATATACAACATACCAAAATAGAAATTTAATCTAGCTGTCTGACGTGGTACATACTGCATTGTGTCCAGACATCTGAACCTTCTTTCAATATCAAATGCTCGAGGCAAAGTTAACATTGGTAACAGGAACCAAAGAGAACACCTCACAGATGCAACCACAAACATTATATATGGAGTAAACAACAAAAATGCATAAAGTAAGTATGACGCTGTTTTGCCTATTAAAATAGCCAATGTTACAATTTCAGCCTTACTGTCTATTTCAAGGTCTCTTGTATTGTTACTATGTAGTATAGCTTCAGTGTTGAGAGCAAGGGGTATAGCATAGTAAATAATTGGCCAGTCCACTCTTCCTGTCTGAGCCAAAAAGGAAAATACTACAGCAACTGGTCCAAATATGACTAGAACCACAATATCACCCAGGGCTATATATTTTAGACCTATTCCCCCAGTGTAAAGAAATGAAGATGACAAGCCACCAAAATACACTAAGGCCAGATGTTCCATTCTGGCAGGTGACAAGATAACTAAAAGTAAAAAGAATGCACAACCTGCCATGTACAGTAAAGCTCCCAATGAGACTACTTCATCAATACTCAGTAAACGGTCAACAAGAGTTCTGTCGTCGGATTTGCGGTTGTCAATGCCTTTGACGAAATCAAAGTATGTGTTCACTACATTACCGGCTCCGTGCACGGGGACAACGGTACAAAGGGTGAGAAGTAACGTTACCCAACTGAATCCACTCTCTCCTGGAAGTCGGTATGACAGCGCGGCACCAAGTAACGTTGGTAACAAGCTACCACTTAAAGACCACGGCCGCAACGCAACCACGTATGTTCTCACTTTCATCAGCGGATTTCTTGATGATGACACTTCTTCATTAGGGGGCTGGAGAAGATTTCCTTCCGCCGCGGTAATATCATTATCGGTCTTCTTGTTTGTTTTCATTGTGATGGATCCCAGTAAGCAAAAATGTATAACCTCCAAATTACACTTAGGTATGAAAAATCACGATAAATTGATGAAAAATGACTTAATTCATAATCACTGTAGGAAATGCTCATGTGGTATACCAAAAATAAAAAATCCGTATCAACACCAGAAATGTTAACCACAACCGTTATTACTTAAATTACTTCTTAAATTAGAAGACGTACGTAAACGTATACAAACATCAAAACTGGTTTTCCAAATTGTGTTGTCTAATCCGAAAGAACTAAAATGGTGATACCGTGTACTGTTACTAGGACGTAAATAATAGTTATCCCAAATTTAGAGACGAGTGATTTTATACAGTCGTACACCACCGCTATCTATTTCAAAGAAAAGAATCTTTAAAATTTAAATGCTGAATGATGATAATGTAAAACGTCATTATTGTCTTGTCAAATGTCAATGACACATTCCTCTATGGTTTGGGACAATCGAAAGTGTGATGATTATTCGATTAAATTATGATTATGATATTCGTATTTTTACTACGCAAAATATATTTCTGAACTTCCGTGTGCTTAAGGAAATAAAACAAATTAAATGCACAAAAATGTACATTAAGGTTACTACAGTTGGGTCATTTTAATAAGTCACTTTTGAGAAACGCGCAGACGCGCTGAGAAATAAATCATCATTTTGCTCGAAAACAAATCGAACATTGGACATCCCTCATCATTCATCTCAATACCAATGCTTTAAACTCTTTGGTGGCGACATTTCGTGTAGGTAGACCATATACTCTTTGATTTAGGCTTTCAATATAAAAGAAAGCTACTGAAAAAGACTTGTAAATTTTACACATTTGGTAGATTTATGGCAGTTAAATTTGTGACAGATCATTAATTTTATTTAGGGCACCTTAAATTTGTATTTCAAAAATAAAATATAGCAACTTATTTATCATGTTATATAGTTTAAAAACTAAATTGTTCTAACTTAAAAAATCAATTTTTTTTTAAATTATGCTATTATTAAAAATATAAACAATTTTTTGATACTTAGAATACGTTTTTCGTTGTATCATTATTGCGTTACGTATAATATTACGTAGTCAAAAAATTGACACGTTATTGAGTAATTGCTTGAAAAAAATTATCAAAATTTGAGCATTAGATTAATATTTAAATCCATTAAAGCATTTAAATGGAGCAATTATTTACGTATTTTATTAATTAAATGTTTAGGAAATAATCATAAAATGTCTGGTTTTTTTGGACATAAAGGCTTAAATTCGTTTTTAAAATTACTCCAACTGCGGTCATTCGTTACCCATTCACTGAGCCACGTTTTAGCATCTCCTTGTAAACAATTGCCAATGCGAGAAAGACATTCGTGATCACTCCAATTATTAGATGACCTAGCACGGTCTACTTCTTCACGCCATGTCTATATCTCATTAACACTCTGATCAAAATTAGAAATATAATAAGACTGGTTAGATCTCACCGGTATGTTTATGGATCGTATCGCATCGATGATGCGATCGGCGGCGCTGGCCTGGACTGAAGTAGCGCTCGCGGGACGCTCCGGTGAGGACGGAGTCGTTCGACTTCGACTGCGGCGCGGCCACTTGACTCCTTCCGATGAGATGAAGACACTACCTGTTGTTCCTCTAATGACACCAATCTACTCAAAATTTGTTGCATTGTTTCGGTTAAAATATTGCTATAAGGGCTACGCCGTCTGTAGCGCAAATCATGTTGGCTAGAATGCGATCTGCGATTTCGCGACCGACTTCTATTCTGCCGCCTCTTATTAGGCATGTTTTCTTGTTTTAGCAAGTATTTCAAATTAGCCGTAATTCGAAGCAACGCATTCAAGTTACGGTAAATAATTGATCAATAGGGTAGACACGACAAAATATTAAAATTAAGATATTCTAAAATTTACTCAAAAAGCTAATAAATACAACTTCTATTATTTCTGTTATTTTAAAGCGGAGAAGAAAACAATTGGAACGTACTCACCAAAGTTGACATAATAAAACTTGATCACACCGTCACATCGCGTCTTACTTACGTATATTATACGAAACACCGAAAACAAAGGGTTAATTTGTCCTTTTAAACAAGGGTAATTACAATTTCCAAAAATATGTTTCTGATCGTATGACTAGCCATTTAAAGAAATAACAATGGAAACACATCGTATCAGGATGTACAAACCAGGACGTGGGAGTTTCACTATCCCACGTCTGATCTAAGGGATCAGAAGCAGGGAAAATTAAAAATACAATCTCTTATACATTACTACAGTAGTTTTTGAATTAATAAGAAAACTAACAGAATTGAATAAATGTAATTAACACTAAAATGATTTAAAAATACAACATTAACTTAATCAACTATCAGAGTTAAAATGACTAATTATTTTGGCTAGTCAAACGGGCAGAGCTTCCGCTGGCTTCAGTGTTCGGTGGCGAGTGTGGCCCGAAAATGAGGGTGCGGTCTCTAATATTGACATCACCCTACCATTATTTTTAAGTTCCACCCTCAGCTAACAATATATTTAAAGTAGGAAGTTATTAAGTAGCCATTGTCAACTGAATTACTGTTTAACGCATTGTGTGCAATTTTTAATGTTTATTGATATTGTAAAAGCTTCTAATAACTTTTAATTTGATCTTACTTTATAAGTTACGTTTTTCCTAGACTAAATAACATTATTATCGTAATTTAAGTAACGACCAATCAGAGCAGAGCCAGGTGGGCTTGAGAGGGGTCGAGGCACCATCTATATATAAGGCGTTTTGACAGTTGTTACGAATATAGTCGTGAAGTGAAGACGGATCGAGTTGGGTCATCGTGTTTTGTGCTTGCACTTTACCCTAAATGGACGCCCACGAAGTCCTCAACCACTATAGATGTCGTTGAGAAAAGTGTTTCTCCGACATTAGAAGTGGGATCGGTAACGGCACAAAATGAAGATCTACGGACACCACCAGAAGACTGATGGCGCGCATTGTTTGAGGCGCTATCCGACGACGACGACGGCGACGACGACCGGCGACGACGACGACAACGACCGACGACGACCGACGACCGACGACGACCGACGACGACGACGACGACGACGACGACGACGACGACGATGACGACGAGCGACGACGACGACGACGCCTAATTTTTTTTTTATTCAGAGGAGAATGCTTTATGTGGGATGCTCCTCCATAGCGGAGGCATACCCACTGAACCTGTCTGTTCCTACAGTTTTTATTATTTTATTGGATTTATTTTAAAATGTTTTTAACTTGTATACAGATTTCACTTTTTAACCTTTTAATTTTACATTTTTTAATTGTTTTAATGTTTTTTAACTTAGATGTAAGAAAAG